AAATTCTCACAAGGCACAATATTCTTATATCGATTCTTCTTCTTCAATTCAGATTTTTTGGCATACGCACAACTGGCTTCGCTAATTGAAGGAACGCTCTGAATTCAAAATATTTTAACAAAACTAAAATCTTTACCAGACATCTTTACCATTGCTGTAGTGCAATGGTAAAGATGTCTGAAATTGTTATTGCTTGTAGCGTGATTTGAATGTAAAGAGACCTCTTTGTTAGCAGGAATAATTTTTAAAAATTTACTCTGTCACAAATTTTTATATTTATTCGGGATATCATCATCAAACTTTGAAAGTTTCACTTAGCTATTTACTTTGTACTCCGATTCAACCCCGGCTGCAGTCAGGTCATTGTAATGCAGCTCGATCTGATGTATGGATACGTGGTTTGGAGTTGAGTTGACGATGGCTGTCTGGTCTTTTGCTATTTTCTGTTTGAGTCTTTCTATGTTTTATAAAAATTTATTGCAAAACATTACAAATTGTTTTTGTTTTCGAGATGTTTTAACTTTTCAGATGAAAAATTTTCTCAAATGTTTAGTTGTATGAAACGTTGCAATTTGAAGCAACAAAAAATGACCAACTTCCACAACTCTCCCAACATTGATTGGTCGGGCTGTAAATTAAACAACACAACTTTATCATCAACAAAATTAAAAAAAACTATTAAAAGTGCTTTTAAATCAAAATTTGTACATACACACACCTCTTGAAACGACAGCAATAGACCAAGAGAACTATGGCCAGAACGAGCAGCAGACCAAGTATCGAACCAACCACATTATACTTGACTCTCCGTCTAAAACTTGTTCACTTGATATCATGCCAATACACATTTTTAAGAAATATCTAAAGTTTTTTATAAGTTTTCTAACTAGTTTCATAAATCTCTGCTTAAAAAAAGGCATAGTGCCAGACTATTTCAAGCATGCCACCGTTGTTCCGATTCTGAAAAAAGTCGGCAGCGATGACGGGCAAATTGGAAACTACAGACCAATTTCTAACCTACCATTTCTATCAAAGGTGCTGGAGCGTGTTGTGAATGGGTTTCTACTGAAATATTTAACAGACAACGATCTTATGCCAAGGTATCAATCTGGGTATCGACGGTTCCATTCCACCAAAATAGCTTTGTTATATGTTTTATCAAGTTTGTTTGCTGCAGCTGAGGTTCAAAACATATCGGTACTATCATTCCTTGATATGTCAGCAGCGTTCGATTGTGTGAATCATGTGAATTGTGTGAATTGTGTGCTTATAAAGAGATTGGAGTGCAGTTATGGTGTTCTTGGAGTTGCCCGTGACTGGTTCAGGTCATATCTCAAAAATCGTACACAACAGGTCGCTTATAAAAACACAGTGTCAGATGTATCGTTGGTCTCATCAGGGGTGCCGCAGGGATCTGTACTGGGACCCATCCTGTTTCTGCTTTATACATCAGATATAATAAAAATAATCAGTTCCCACGGATTTGTTTGTCATGCCTTTGCGGATGACATCCAGGTGCTGATCACCGGTTCTCCGAGATCATTTGTAGATGAAATAAACAGATTTAATAAATGTATGTCGGACGTTGGCCGTTGGATGTCCGATAATTCATTGAAGTTAAACCAATGTAAGACTCAGTTCCTCCCAGTTGGGACATGGCAGCAGTTATCGAAGAT